TTTTGTTTTGTTTTGTTTTGTTCTATTTTAGAGATATCTACTTGGCAGCAGAAGTGTATTCTTGCAATATTTCACAACAAATGATGGAAGGTACTGAAAAACGTGCTGGTGAAGCAATCCAGATTCCTGATGGTCTTCGGCCATTACTGGAAGCATTCGCCAAAGAAACACTAAAATCTCATCCAGATGATTTGGTTTATTTCGGCAAAGTATTTTTCGATGAACTTTATAATCTGAAGGAAAGTAAGTGGTTAATGCCAAAATTTCACTCAAAGTTCCTCATTATGTTATTTCATGGGTTACTGGAATGAAAAACATTGGAAAATTGCAATAAGAAAACTTGAAGTTTTTCCCACAGTAGTTTGAACATTTGATGATGCTGGCTTATAGATTCAATTTTAAATACATACTTTTGAGAACAGCAGCATTATAGCGCTTTTGATACTGCATTTATTCTTGATACTTGATTCTGAGCTAATTAAGGAGAGTAGAAGTTGGAATAGCAGATTATTAAATTAAAAAAGGTTGTTGTTTTGGTGATAGTATTTGTAATTTATTCGACACTCCAAAGAAGTCTGGATATACATCAAAAATTAAAAAAGTATTTTGGTGATTTTTGAGAGTATTTTCAAATTTTCAAATTAGTTTTTTCAAGAGCAAGACAAAAAATTGAATCAAAGCTAGTGACTTCAGACTTTTTTTGAGTGGCTCAACAAAAGGAATTTATAAAGAAGATTCTGAGGTAAGATGTTTGCGGCAGAAAAAGAAATGCCGTGATAATGATGTTTTCGGAGTACATGTTCTCAGCATCTTCTGAACAACTTTACCATTTCTAAAATTAGGTTTTTATAAATATAATTTTATTGGATTAAAGATTAGCCAAATAAAGTTGATTTTTGAACCACAAAATATTCAAAATGCCAACTTGAACAGTGATCAGTGAAAAAAATAACTTTTTTACTTTAAACCAATATTTATCCTTTTGAAAAATCAATTTTTTTAGTTATTTTCTTTTTTCGAAGAACTCGAGTTTACATATCAACAACAAAAACTTTATTTTTTTCACTTAAATTGCTTTACCTGCAAAAATTCATTGAAAATTAAAACCGTTTGAAAATTGTCTGTAATTCAAAAAAAAAAAAAAAGTTTTTACAAATTGACGAAGCACTACCTGGTTGAACAAATTCTTTTAACGTTTTTGTAGCTGCGATAGTCGCGACCTGTAACCTCTCATAAGTTTTTAGCTTGTCGGCGAAAAGAGTAGAATTCTTTAGTTGATTTCTGT